GTCTCCTCTATCTGAGTGCCCTGTGTGTAGCTCAGTAAACAGTTTAACCATACTACCTGAGAAATTCTGGGAATCTTACACTATGGTGGGATATGTGCAAAAGTGTATGTAAGTCCAGGGAATTAAAGCAAGTGGGTATGTGTGCGTTGGTGGGTGGGGTACGTTGGGGGAAGCTTCATGGGGAAATGATGCCAAATCATGATTTTTGCTTAATGTCTTTGCAGTTAACTATCCAAGAATGATTTTGAAAGTTTATTAGTCAAGAACTACATATTGGAATTTTTTCTTTTTGCAGAAAAAGAAAAAAAATGAACAACTATCTGTTAATCTACTCAACTGTTTTTGGTGATATTATTTTCTTCCCTTTAAAAAATTCCCCCCAAAGAGCCTGAGAGAGTATAATAAGAGAAAAATCCATTCAACCTTATTCTGTGTTTCTCTAGTCTACCATAAGCTGTGGTTCTTCTACCTGGACTCTTCTTTCCTCTTCTTCTTCAAGGTTCAGCCTCATGTCCCCTGGCTTGTGAAGCCTTCCTTTGGAGATTTCAGCCCATAGTGATTGGTCTATTCTTGAATTTCCTTTGAGCCATGTTGCCTCTTTTCCTGTGTACATCAGTCTCTTGGGTATCTCTCCATGTAGACTGTGGACTCCTCAAGGTCAGGGACCACACACTCTTCCTATACATACCCCTACAACATTAAATACTATCCTGGACCCTGATTTCCACTGCAAGTGGAAGAAGGAGAAAGACATTTATGAAAGATGTCAGGATACTGACATCCTCTTCTGAAGCTGGACTCATGAGTACAGCACATTTTATCTTTCCAAAATCTCTGGATTGTCTTATAATACAGTCTAAAAGTTTAATCTTTGTTTAGTAGGAACAACATGCAAAAAATAAATTTCCATAATTATTATTAGCATTTTCTTACTAACAGATTTTTCAGAAGCTGTTTCTATATCAAGCAGATCAACCTTTCTGTTGTCATAGAGACAAAGATCTTTATATAACCATAGGCAAGGTGAGATTTTTTTTTCTTTCCCTTCCAGTTGTCTGGAACTAATAAGAAAAAGAAAGAAAAAAAATTAAATCATTTTTTCTATTTTTTATTCCCCAATTAAAATGAGTGAAAAGTGGGAGGCTTTTTTTGCATCACATTTTAGATTTTAAATACCTAAGTTTTAATAAAATGTGGAAGGGTTGGAGAGATATGAAAAACTGAGCAATACCATCTTCAAAATTTGCAAGTAGTGGGCTTGTCAAGGACAAGCATTTATAATGCACAGTTCCCCTCCACCCTTTTAAATCAAATAGTGAATGTTGGTTGGAGGTCTTAAAAGATAGGACCAACAAGGCCTGAAATATAAACGAGTACCTACTGAGGGGCTGCTGACGAACTCTAAGGCGCTCCGTGGCATTGTCCTTCTCCAGCCCCCAGAACGGGTGTGCTCCTCTCCTCTCCTCTCTGCTGAGTGAATCCTGTGGATAACTTAGTGCAAGGCGACATCCCTCTTTTTCTGGAAGTCTTATCTCATAATTTCAGTTCTCTTCTTTTCCAAACTCCTGATAACTCGTTATTCATAACATTTGTCTGTCTTGTAGTTACCATTTACCATTTCATCCATTCATCATTAAGAAAATGAGGACTTCAGCACGAACCCATATACATTTCCTGTCCTTTACCTCAGTGTTTTTTAAAATACTTTTTAGATCATTTATTTATTTATTTTTAGAGATGGAAATGGAAGGAGAAAGAGAGGGAGAGAAACATCAACGGCCAACTGGGGACCTGGACCACGACCCGGGCACATGCCCTGACTGGGAACTGAACCAGCGACTCACAGGCTGGCGCTTAATCCACTGAGCCACACCAGTCAGGGCACCTTTTCCCAACCATTTTCTTGCCTCAGGACTCTCCCTGTTTTTTCCAAGATTAACCCTTTCCCTACAATCTAAGACTAATGCTCTCCACCCCCCCCACTGAGACCCCACTCCATTGAGTATTACTCCCACCCCTTGTATCATCAGTGCCTGGCCTCCATGACTTCCTCCCCCTCTTCTTCTTTAAAGATTAAAAAAAAAAAAAACTTTTCTCAATCTTGTTTATTTTCCACATGTCTTGGAGTTTGGGTTTTAATTTGATCACAGCTGCCTTTGCAGCAAATAGATATTGTGGATGTGTGTGGGGGGCAGGGCAGTGGGGACACAGAAGGGAAGTGTATGGCAGCAGGAAGTTCAAGACATACTTCTTGCTTTTCAGGAGGTTATGTGCTCGGTGGAGAGCAATAGCTTGGGTCTCACAGTTCAGCGTGCATTAGAATCACCTGGGGAGTTCATTAAACCCGACCGCAGGACCACACCCTCGGAGCTGCCGAGTCAGTGGACTGGGGCTGGGGCCCGAGGGTGCGCTTGCGACATTCCCCAGGTGATGCTCATGCTGTTGGTCTGGGACCACACTTTGAGCAACATCGCCTTGAAATGTTTACTCTTCTATTCTTTTTTAAAAGATTTTATTTTATTTAATTTTAGAAAGAGGGGAAGGAAGGGAGAAAGAGAGGGAGAGAAACATCAATGTGTGGTTGCCTCTCCAGTGCCTTCTACTGGGGACTTGGCCTGCAACCCAGGCATGTGCCCTGATTGGGAATTGAACCAGTGACCCTTTGCTTTGCAGGCTGGCACTCAATCCACTGAGCCACACCAGCCAGGCCTACCCTTCTATTCTTGTGAATCTCTTTGGTCATATTGATGCTGAAGTCACCACATCCTGATTAAAAAGTTACCCCATTTGGGCCTTTACTGGCCCCACCCCCATAGCGTTCTCACCTGAAGGATGAGGTCAGACTCAACTGTCCGATTCTCAGGAAGTCCAACCTTGTGAGGGGCAGCACACTTGTTGACCTAAGGGGTCTACATGTCTTGAGAAGATGCTCCTGGTGTGGGTGCCAAGATAGTGCGTGTGAAGAGAGGGAGTTAATGATTTTGCAGAACCCCACAGGGATGGCAAACGGCTTCAGGGCCTGGACAACCAGCTCCTTTTTGAGAGGGAGACTAGCCAGCTTTAGCATGCCGGCAGTTCTTACCTTGTCTCACACCCCACCCTCAAACCTAATCAGCCCTTAAAATTTTTTTAAGGGACTCTCAGCTTCTTGAAACTGTGGGCAACAAGAAAATTTTTGTTTCCTTTTGTTTTCTCACTTTAGTCTTCTCTAGGGAATAGATTCTCTCCCAAGGCCACCATGGCCGTGGCAGCAAGAATTGTTGAGTGATCTCAGGAAAAAGCTGAGTCTGAAAGGAGCTGGGACTCGGTGTACTTCTTCTCCCTGCCTCCCATTTGGGGGGGGGGGTGTCTACTGTCTACTCAGTGCCAACTTTGGGAAAAATTATATATGTGACGGGGTAATTTTTTTACTAAGAAAGCAAACATAGAAAGATCATTAACAGATGACGTGTCTTTGCTACTCGTTAGCTGTGGGACCTTGGGTGGGTTATTGCATCTCTTTGGATCTCAGTGTGCCATAATTCGTATGATGAGTACCAGGTGAGAGAGACAGGCAGTTAGTGGCACAATCATTCATGAGAGCAAGATGAGAGGCTCGTCAGAGAAGGACAAGGGCTGGGACTTTGAAGGCAAGTTCCATAGATTTGTTGATTGATTGAAACATTCTATCATCATGGTCCTCACCTTCAGGGAATTGAGCTGACAAGGTAATTAATGGAAACTAATTAATATAAACCCCTCAACCTTTAAACTGTATCTGTCAACCACAAATATTCACTGAAGGCCACTAACTCTTCTAGGGGAAAAGTCCAGACTCTCAGGAGGGAGGGCACTCCCCTCAGTGAAGTGGGCCTTGGACAGACTGCTGGGACCCAAGGAATTTGGGAGGGGCAGGGAGTGTCTCTTTCCTCCCCCAGCGTGGAATTGTACCACCTCTACTTCTTAGAACATAACAATTAAACCTCCACCAACCTGTGCCTTTCGGAGACTTTCAGAGCACTACTATTCTTTTGTTTTATCTTCTAACAACTGTATTGAAATGTAATTCGTACATCACAAAATTCACCCATTTGTAGTGTACAATGCAATGGTTTTCAGTACATTCATGGAGTTGTGCTCCCATCACCACCATTTAGTTTTAGATCATTTCTGTCGCCCCCAAAACCTGCTTCCATTAGCAGTCACCATGCCTGTGTTGCAACCTGGCAACTCCTAGTCGACTTTCTGTGTATCTGGACATTTCCTATAAACAGAATCATATTATGTGTGGTACCTTTTTCTAAACTGAACAAAGGAGAGTGGGTAAGACTCTGATACATTAAAGGCCCCCCTTCTCCTCTTTACTCTATCACATCAGGAAACAACTTCCTCCACCTGCCTGCAGTCGTGAGTGTGGAGGTGGTGCAGGTGTGCCCCAGGTGGGACCCGAGGGCTTAGGTTGATTAGGCCTTGACTGAAATACAAGTAAGCACGGGACAGGGTGGAGCTCACTAAAGTGTAGGTGTGCCCTGGATAGGGGAGGCAGCTTCCCAACAGCCTGCGTTCAGGTCGCTCCGGCCATAGGGCCTGAACACTTCGTTCCTAGAGGACCACAGGGCGACAGGGGTCACAGTAACCTTCACCAACCTGGCAGACCCAAGGTTCAAAGACCACACAAGATTCTCCTGGAAGAGACAGCGGTTGACTGAGGAGCATCAGCCACCCTGTTCCCTTTGGCTTCTCGGTAGTTCCGCACCCCCTGCTGTGGCCGCAACCAAGGAGAAAGAGGGGACCTGGGGCTGCTAGGGGCTGGAGGCTGTGCCAGCTGGTGGGGCCCAGATCCAAGGTGCGGCACAGGATGGTAAAGACCTCACGCTTTGGCTTCTCTTCACCCTAAAAGGAGGTGAGTTTTGATAGGATGAATGGTCTTCCTTCAAGATTCCAGGTAAAGGGGAACAAAGAGTATGGTGGCAAGGTGGCTAGGAGCAAGTGAAGGTCCTAGGGTGGGGGCACATACTCACAGTTGAGTGAGGCCAGCCAGCGGGCCAGGACAGCGCAGGGCGCCATCGGGCGGGCAGCTGCAGGGCGCGGGACAGTGCACCCGGCTCAGCGCCTGTGGCAGCGCGGGAAGCGGCAGCAACAGCAGCGCCAGGAGCAGCCAGAGCTTTGGGAACGGCCGCCCCATGGTGGAAGAGCCTGAGGATGGGCTCTTGCAGCTGGGCGGGTGCCCTTGACAGCCCTGGAGTGCAGCCCGCGCCCCTCTCCCCGCCCCTAGGTCTGTCCTCCCACCTCCTCCCTCCCGCCCACCTCTTCCCCGGTGGCGCTCCCTGCAGCTGAATTTCTGTTCTGTGACCCCCATCATCGCTTCCCCACTGCAGCTTTCCCTGGACTATCCTGTCTGCCACATCTGCAAACAGCCCCAGTTCTAGGAGGCCGAGTTGGTAATGGTGTGTGCTTTGGATGAGAGGTGGGGAGTTCTGAATTCTGGCCCTGGCTCTGCTGTGACTGTGAGTGTGAAGTTGAATGAGTTGTGTCACTCCCGCTAACCTCTCGGATTTCATCTGTGATGGGCCCACCCGTAATTGGTCGCTCGGAATCTGCCGAAGGGCGAAAGTGTGCAGCTGAGAAGCTCCTCTCCTTCAGTCTCAGCCCTAATTCCTTTCTCTTTCTTCCCCACCGTCTCCCTCCACACTCAAATTCTCTCTGTCCTCCCAACTTCCCCAGTCCTGTCTCAGTGTTCTGCTCGGAGTAACAGCTTTCCTCCTTGCGACCTGAGTCTGTTCTGATCTCCACTGTAAATGGTGATGTACTAGCGAGCAAAATACAGTTCAGATTAATTTTTGTATTCCTCTGGCTTTACAAGGTAAAGATTTGTTGAATGAATGAAACGGCTTTAGCAATATACAGCAGGTACTTAAATGGGAGGCTAAACTTCACAGCAAAGGAGCAGGTGTTAAAACAGAAAAGTGATGTCCCGAGAGGTTATGTGACTTCCCCAGAGCCCCGAGAGGTTATGCAACTTCCCCAGAGTCACACAGCTTGTAAGTAGCAGAAGCCTGTTTGAATCATGTCTATCACCTGTTTTCTCCCATCAGTGCAAAATATTACTGTATGATCTACATACCAAGGACTTTGAAAGGAGGCAGAATTTATGGTAAACCTGGGGATCCATAATTTCCCCTATTTAATTTAATCATTAAAACACTTTCCTGCCTTCCTTCCAAGGCCTCTATTTGGACTCTGGAAATCCTGGAAGACTTTTTGGAAGAGCTGGATTTCGAGAGCTGGGAAGGTATCAAAGACTGTACAGACAGGAAGTAAAAACAGTTTCCTTTCTTCTGTGCTGAAGCTAGCTCTCCCAGGCAGACTGGCTCAGCGACCAGTCTCTGGTCTCTTGGAGTCTTTTGCCCAAGGAAGGCAGAGTTTTAAAAGGTTATTTAAAGAAAATCATTGGGCTTTGCTAGATGACAGCATTGTGCTAGATGATATGAAAAACAAAGCTGTGGCTACAGGATTGTCCTCATTTTCTGGGTCCCTGTCTCCACCTGTTTACCTGGCTACTCTTCACCCTTTCATACCCCTGCATTTGCTGTTCCCCTGACCTGGAATGATTTTTTTTCCCTCCTTTTCCTTACTCCATTACATAAACTGCTAGTTGTCCTTCATGACTCGTCCCAATGTCATTCCCACTCTGAAGCCTAGTCTGATTCAACCTAGCTGAGCAGTTGTGGCCATAGCACCTGAGTCTAAAGCCATTGATAGAACACAGTGAAATTATGGTTTTAATTTGGCCTCCTCCCATCCGTTCATCTTAGTACTGCTAGGGCATGTCATAGCCCCCAGCTCCTAGTAGGTGCTCAGCATATATTGTTGAGTAAAAGAATGAATAAATGAAAGCCCGTGCATAGACCTATAGCATATGCTCAATGAATCATCTGAGGAGAGATGAACAACCTTGCTTGATTTATTTCCAGCTACACTGGATCTATCTGGATTGATATCAAGTAAATATCCCTGACTACTTTGGGGTCACATTTCCTCTGTTTTAGCTTTGTCAGAATTTGGTAGGGAAGTTAGGGTGACACTGGGAATTTTAAACATTTCTACCATATACCCTAAATTGCAGGAAAAAAAGGAGTGAATACTTCAAGGTGGTCGAGTGGCACCTATCTCAAATCTTGTGTTTCATGTGGCCTTTTCTTTTTACTCCAAAGCCCATTTGTTGTATAAAAAGAATGGTTGCTCCCGCCCACCCCTGAAGAACCATTTGATTCTGTGCTTGGGTATCCCCAGGGGCTACTTAAATGCCCTTAAGAAAAGAAAAGGGCAGTCAGGACACCTGGATTTTCCTTTCTGTTCTGCCATCAGCCATGTGACTTGGTCTTTGACGTCCTCACCTGTAGTAGGAGGGGTTGGAGTTCTCAGTCCTTAGGCTCTCCTGCCTCTAAAACACACGGTCTTTGTGGATGCTGGTGGGAGGAGTTGGATTGTGTGTATTGACTTCTTATTGTGTTGGATTGGAAATAAAATCCAGTTTATGAAAAGTGGAAGTTGTTCATCTGAAAGAAAACTTATAACTGTAATGAATTTTCATAAAATTTTGCATCTCTGATTAAGTTCAATTATATCTTAATTATCACATCAGTTCTTGCAATGTACCTATTATAACAAAATCAACATTGATTGTTATAATCACAAAAGTTTGTCACAATGCAATTTACCTATCCTACTCATTAATATATAACCTATTTAGAGTAAGTGTTTTTAAATATGAAGAACTTCTATGTCATGTAACTATATTTATAGTTATTTTTGTCACAGACTTTCAAAAAAGCATGATCCACAAGGACTGCTAATTATATTTCACTGACAAATTAAAGTTCTTGGAATTCACAAGAAGTTTATTCTACCTTAGAGATATAAAAATATCTCACATGACAACTCAGAAATCCTAGTAAAACTTTTCAAAATTCTAGAACAGGCCTTCTCATATTTTAAGGTCCAGAAGTATCCTTTGGGAAGCTTTAAAAACAAAGATTCCTAGGACCCCCCTTCTCCAAAGATAGTCTAATTCAGTTGATATCGGTGGGGCCTGGGAGTCTGTGTTTTAACAAGCACCGAAGCAACTTGGACGCATGGGCTTCTCAGAGCACAATTTGTGAAACACTGTAATGGAAATTCTAGAATTAGATTCCTTGAGAAGACAAAGCTCACGAATCCTTACTATGGACTCTGGTGTGTGTTAGCACGTGCATACAAATAATATGTGTGTATGTGTATAAAACAATTGTAATAGAATTTTTAAAAATGTAAGGAGCAATCAGTTTACTTATTTTAATTTTTGGGGGGAGTGGGGAATGAGCAGTTTCACAAGATCAGAGATCCTATTTTTCTTTAGGACTCACTACATCAAAACTCAATATCATTTCATGTCACATTAAGATAGCAAAGTAATGAAAAAACCTCAAGCAGGTTAGGTAAGATTTTCTGACTCTTTGACACATACCCTGTTAGTACCATAACTGATATTTCTTCCCTCTTAAAAGCAGTGTGTTTACCTTTTCCTCAGAAGGAAAGTAAGGCAGAAGAAGAAAAAGTGTAAGGAGAGAAAAATACAGTTGGCTTGTGAGCTATCCACTTTGCCACCTGGAATAAAAACAAACAAACAAAACCAAAGAAAACAAGGAAGATGACCTCTAAAAGTTAACACTGTGAAATTTCATGCAACCTCCCTGTGACGTGCTTAAAAATTTCATCTTCCATTTCACGGTCTACATGGTGCGAAGTCAGAGATGTGACCAGCTGTCCATCTCCAGCTCTGCCCTGGGCTTCCCGTAAGCTTTAGGAGGAACTAACCGGAGCAGCAGGCTGATGGGCACCGAGCGCTAGGGAAGGACCTGTGAGTGGAGGCTTAAGGATGGTCTGGAGCATGAGAGTCCATCTTCAAGACTGCTGGAGAGAGCCAGAGAAGGGGCTGGCCATTTTGGTCCTGTTGCTGGGAGGATATGAATGAATTGGGGGCTGCTGTCTTTCTTTTTTTTGTGTGTGTGAAAAAAAGCCTACCTGGTCTGGCAGTGATTAAAACTACAGAGAGAAAAACAGACATGAAAGGCAGGTGTGGGCAACAGAGTCTGAGGCCAGCACCTCCCTTGAACTTCCCAAGTAATGAGCCAATACATCCTCTCTTATCCTTAAGCTAATTGGAGTTGAGTGTCTCTGATTTAAAACCAAACTTCCTAATCTCTACTATCAGCCTTGCTGTGACTTTTATTTGACCTGCCTATTCCCCCCTTTCCTTCTCAGCTGGGAAAGAAATAGGACTTTTCTATTCTTATCCGTCATAGCACTCAGTGTTCCCCCTTAATTGATAGTATTTATCACTGTGCTGCTGGGAATAAACTGGTCCAGTGTGTGAATGAACAAATGAATGAATGTGAATGAGTGAAAAAAAGAGGCAGTATCATAGAAACAGCATTCTTTTTAGAGAAGCTGCATTTTGCTAAATAATTCACCAAGCATGCTTTCTACTTCAGGGAAGGGCTCCTAGTGAACTGCAACCTTGGTTTAGAAATTAAATTTCAAACTAAAATATTAAGCAGAGCCAATACAGGAAGGGAGACTTTCTGACATGATAAAATAAATAAAAAAGGAAAGAAGAAAATAAATAAAAAAGGAAAGAAGATTTGATTTTAAAAAGACCGATACAACTAACCAAAGTGTGCACCACAGGATACCAGTTCTCTGCCAGGCTTATTGGCAATATCTAGGGAAAAGGTGTTAAAATTCAAGAAATTTGGGAAAACTTGGGTTAAAGTTAAACAATGTTCTTTACTAGACAATTTCTCAGAACTTTCAGCATGCATTCTGAATCTCTAAGAGGGCCATAGTATATGCACAGGACTGGGGTTTCTTTAGGACATGCTTTGAGAATACTGATTTGGGAGAAAACAGAAACTTGTGGCAAAGAACCCCTTCACTGAACTGGAAGCCAGAAGCTTGGCGTGGTGATAGCTTACTGAAATTGGACTTGATGGTGATCGGAAAGATGGCCTGGATTCCTGTTCCTTTCCCCTTAGCCTTCGATGTGGACAGTCAGGGTCTGGAAATCCCAACATTATCAATATATCCTTTTAGGGTACATGTGGACCTCTGCAATCTCCTTTTTCAAAATGAAAATACAGCACA